GTCGCACTTGAAGATCTACAAGGTCCCTTCTGACCCTACTTCTATGATTCTATGACTAATAAAATAGTCACCTGCCCATATGGACATTAGTCATCATTCTGCATAGGGGAAGTTGCAGAGGGGATGTGATGGTACACTCACGCCTCCTTTCCACAATGTAGCTCAGCAACAAGAGTTCCCTGCAGGGCCTGGACCACACCATGAAAGCAGCAGCTGGAAACTTGTTTTCCAGTCCCCAGCACCCCCTCCCCATCCCCATCCCCTCCTTGCTCAGGAGCCTCTCTCACTTCCCCTCTCTACTTGTGCCTCTGGGCACAGGCAGGGGAGACCTACTGAGAGCTGCCAGGACACAGTGGCAGCAGGTGGCATCACCCCCTCCATGCCCATGGCCATGCCCCTGAGGTGTTCTGGGACTAAACCTGAAAGTGTAGGGAGGGGAAAACCTATCTGCTACCATCCCTGGCTGAGCCAAGGTCTCTGCAGAGCTGGAGTAAGGAAGGATGGTCTGCCCTTCCTGTGCCTTGAGCATAAGCAGAAAGGGCGAGGGTAGGGATTGGAATAGGAGATGCCACTGTGCATGGAGGGGGACCAAGGGGGTGCCAAGAGCAGTAGCAAGGAGAGGGGGAGGGGGCAGGCAGGGAAATACTTACCTAATTCAGGGACTTCAAAAGAAGGTCTTGACTACTGCTTTCACATGTGTTCTGCCTGCTTCAGCATGGGAGGCTAGAAGTGGGTGAGTGCAGCTAACACACAGGGTTGCTGCTCTCATACCCTGTTTTTCAAAATCCTTGCTCCACCCACATTCACAGGGGATGCAAAATATTATGAAGTATCATTTGTCCTTATATCAAATTCTTCCTAATAATAGTCCACAAAAGGTTCAGCCAATGAACATGGCTTCAAACTATATGTAAATCTAGCAGGAAAGTCAGCATGTGTTGACTTTTGAACTCTGACAACTTCTGTTAGCAATTCATTCTGAAAACAAAGAACATTCGCTCATAAGCAGATGACTGATTTTCTAAGGTCTCCTAACATATCAGCTGCCAGGAAGCCACAAATCCACAGGGATACAAATACATGCTATTTTCCCCCAATGAGCACAAAAGCTGGTATTACAGCTGTCCCTGCAGAGACATGCTAATCTGTAAAAAAAAAAAAGCGCATAAGAAACCATGATCAAGCATTCAATAGTGTTTGTTGCTTTTAGAGATGCAGAAAGAAGCAACTTGAGTTGCAAGTTACAGGCCATTTTTGGATATTTTAGAGAATAAAATGCAGCACCTTAAAATTATACAACTAAATGTATAATATATACAATATAAGGGATCAAAGAGATGTAGCTAGAAAGGCGGGAGTAACTAAACAGACATGGCAATAGCTAACCAGAGGAATAATTTTCATTGTAGTCAACCTAAGATAGGATGAAGTGATTTCTAAAAAAATAAAGTAGTACGTGAGTGCACGTGCCAAATATAGCCACAGCCCACATCATACAATAGCACCAGTTTAAGAACTATCTGCCATTTTACGGATAGCCTGTATAAGACAGATGTTATACAATCACAACTGTTCAGGCCAGCAAGCAAACTCATAATTTATTATGAATTAGCCACTATCAACAGACATACCCTACTGCAAGCCAGGCTAAAGAGGAGAGATTCTTTCAGGAAACATTCAAACTGGAAGAAAAATAAGCCAAAACATAGCTGTTCAGTGATAGGGAAGAACTTATAGAATCAATGAGTCGGAAGGGACCTAGACAGATCATTGAGTTCGACTCCCTGCCATGGGCAGGAAGGAGCACTGGGGGTGGCAGGGTCATAAGACCCCAGCAAGGTGCCTATCCAGTCTCCTCTTGAAGATTTCCAGGGAAGGTGAGAGCACCACCTCTCTGGGAAGCCTATTCCAGGCTCTGGCCACCCTTACAGGGAAGTAGTTCTTCCTAATATCTAACCTAAACCTATCCTCCCTCAGGTTGTGGCCATTGTTCCTGGTGACTCCAAGGGGG